TTCTATATGCCTCCTTTTCCTGTATATCAGTTTCTGTTTCCATACTTGGAAAATTTTCTGCTATTATTTCTGCAAATATTCTTTTTATGTCAGTTGTGTTGCCTCCTGCGGTTTCATTGACTCCTATAAGTCATACATTATTCCTCTTTGCCTCATCTTGCAGCTGTTGAATTGACTTTTTGTGGATCCTTGTTGATTTTACAAGATCCTTTCTTTTACAGTTGCTAGCTGCCATGCTATCTTCAAAGTCTGAGATTCTATCTTCAGCTTCATTCAAGCCATTTTGGCAGTTTTCACTGGAAGCTTTGTTTTCCTGGAAGTCTCTTTGAATCTGGTTCATGAGTTCTAAGTCCTTTCTATATTTTTCATTTAATACTTCTGTCCATTGCCTTTGTTCTTCTATTTTTTTATATGTTTCTTCTGCAGACTCTTTGAGCAGTTCCTTCATTATTATTATCATTTCATATTTTGCCTGAGAGATTATTTCTGATCTCATCTCTTCTATGGCCTTATGGAGTTGTTTCTTTACTTCCATTGCAACCATTTCAGCTATTTCAGGCATGTGTTTACCAAGTTCTCCTACGACGATGTCTCCTGGACTTGTTCTGAGTGGGGTGGAGTTCTGGGATTGTGTTTTAGTCCTCCATTTTGTCATGTTTGCTACTGAATGCAGAAAGCTCTGTTTCCCTCTTCAGTGGCTACACAGCAACAGCCACTAATGTCCCTAGTTTTCCTGTTGGTCACGTTTGCCCCTCAGTGACCCCTGAGAAGCACTGCTTAGTCTCGGGTTTTCCAGCAGTTGTTGATTTTTATCTAGTTATCCCAGCGCTCAGACTTGGGCATTGGTGTCAGCTGATGGCAGACCATCTGATCCAGTGTCTGCTTGCAGTTCAGGGCACATGCACAGCCCAGACTCGGGTTGCACTGGTGTGACAATCCCAGTCCAGTGGACCTATGTCCCCAGGAAGTTCAGGGTACAGGCAAAACCCAGACACAAACCACAGGGTCAACAGTTTGTGAACCACCTGATTCTGTGTTTCCAGTCAGTTCAGGACACATACAGGAACCAGATACAGGCCAGATGGGCAACAACCACAGACTGCCTGTGCCTGCAACCCACTAGGGGGTCTGGGCAAAAGTAAAGCACGGACTCAAACCACTGGACCACCAGCTCTTGGAGCACTCCTGCATTTGGCGCAAGGCCTGTGCAGGGAGGGGCCACACGTGCCCTCCCCTCAGCTAAAGCAGTCCCTGGGGCTTCTGAGTGAGGACCTCCTGTCTGCCACAGGTGCATGGAGGGCAGAGACTCAGTGTGTAATGGCGGTGGGGTCCTTGGTGGCACTCTCTGCCCCCAGGAAATAGATGGGAAATACCTGGGTCTCTCCATGAGTTTCAGCTGAGAACCATGGCAGTGTGAGTAAAGCATGGACTCGAACTGCGGGACCAGCAGCTCTTGGAGCACTGGCTCACTCGGCGCAGGGCACTTGCAGGGAGGGGCCACACTCGCCCCCCACCCCACTCCCAGCTAGAGCAGTCCCTGGGGCTTCTGAGTGAGGACCTCCTGTCTGCTCTGGGTGCATGGAGGGCAGAGACTCAGTCTGTAATGGCAACAGGGAAGTGACCCTCTTTCCATTCCTTATATCTTATCCAGGCTATCCAACCTATGTATGATATTAGCTGCATGTTTTTTTGAATGACACTTACTAGGTTAATGAAGTTTTCTTTTATATTTTGTCAAGTCCTTTTCTTTAATGAATAATTTGGATCTTGATAGGTTTTTTTCATCTATTTAGATAATCTTTTAGGAGGAAGGTCAAGGTTTTTCATTCTATTAATATTGTATGGTATGTTAATTTACTTGGATATTAAATTAATACAGCATTTCTGGCATTGTTGATTTTCTTTACTGTTTGTTTCTGCTCTAGTCTTAACTGTTTGCTTCTTAATGCTTGATATGGGTCTAGTTTGGTCTTCCTTTCCTGGATTTTAAGCTGGATGTTCTGGTTATTTATTATGGTCTCTCAATATAGTTGTTTGCAGCTATGAATTTTCCCCTAAGCATCATGTTAGGTGCATTTTATCAATTTTCATATGGCATTGTTTTGTCTTCCTTCTTCTCAGTATGGTTTTTAGTTTTTCTCATGGTTGGTTACTTGACTCATTGATCACTTAGAAGTGTTTACTTTAATTGCACTTATTTGTGAAATCCCTAAATCTCCTTATATTATCATTTAGGTCTTTCCATAAAGGTTGTATGAATTCTAGCTTGTAAAATTTACTGAGGCTTAATCTGTGGTCTACCATATATGTACTATTGAGAATTCATGTGTTCTAATGCACATCTTCAATTCCAGCCCATCCCATCAGGTTTTATTTTGTATATGTTTTCCAACAGTGTGAATCTGACTGACCATTAACAAGGCAGTTACTCATATACTTTGTCTTCTAATGCTTCTGATTTTCTTTTTGAATTGTTTAACTCATACTATTAGAAAAACAAACCTACTAAAAAGATTTTGTGATTTTATTTGCATCCCACATTCTTCACCAAGATTGAGGGTGTATGTCAAAGTTGAATTCATAGGTTAGTTGAACTAGTGCTTTTTTTCTTCAGGAAGTTTATTTATTTGCTTTCAATTATCATTTCAATTATCATTCCCATTGTAATCCTATTGATTCAATTTGTTTTTGGAGCATATGCATTACAAGACAAAGCTTACTTCCCAAAATGAAAAAACTAAAAAGTGTACTGAGAGAAGTACTATTCCTCCTGTGTCTCTTCCCTTTGCATCCCCTACTGTTTCCCTTATCATGTTGTTAGGAAACCAAGGATATTATTTCCTGGTTTATCTGTCTTGTGAATCAAAGGTGTTTGTCTCCGTGTTTACATTTTTAATTATGTACTATTCAATCTTAACACAAGGATGCATACTAGACACCCCCTTTTTCAATTTTTTTCACTTAAAATTATGTCTTAGAAAGATGAAATATTTTAAATATGCATGTTAATACTTAGGATTTTTATGTCACATTTGGCATAATTTACTTGTAACTTTATAAAAATGTGCACAATTGCTGCTAATTATTCTAAATTCAAAATCTTTATAGTTCACAATAGAGCTGTTTTTCTGTTTAGTATACTAAATGAATCTTTTTATGTTGTTTCTTATGAAGTATCAGATGAAAATGAAGATCTTACACTTGAGGACAAAGACTTGTTATCAGCAGTCCAAATACAAAAAACAGAAAAGAATATTTCCAAAGTAGAGCATCATAGAGGTAAGCATAATCATTATAGGTATTTTAAAATTATTTTAATGTAAACTCTTCAGAAGATCTTCCTTTGATTATGGCTATTTTATTTGAAAATAAATTTTGTAGAATTTTTAAAATATAATTTTTATTAGTACATGCTTGTGGTGCATAATGTTTACATTCCTCATGGGGAATTGGTACAGGTACATAATATATCTTAATTCCTTTTTTTAATTGCCCTTCTCTCTCTCTGTCCATCCCCCATCCATCTCTTGATCCCCTTCCTTTTTTTTGTACTGTTTGCAGTACATAATATTTACATTCCTTGTATGGAGTTGGGACGTGTACACAACACATCTTAATTCATTTTCTCATCTCTTTTCCCACCCTGCCTTTCCAAAGCATGAATATTGTTAGTTACCCTGAGAACTACAGTGAAATTTCTGATACCTTTAGATTGGTATTTATATGGCCCATTGCTACTATTTAATGTCTACCTGTATTCAACATATATGAAACATGAGTCACACAAATTTTATACTTCTCCTCCACCATCTCTTTCAATTAATAGTTTGTTGATAAAGCTTTACAGTATTTTTCCTTTACTTTTACACAAATGAGGAGAAAGCTTATTCTTGGCATACCCAGATGTCTCATCATAAATCTTTTTTTGTTTAGCTGTAACCAGTGTGCCACCTGAAGACACAATTTTAATTTTAAGAACAGGCTCTAAAACTCAAAATCTTGAAGTTTTTGAAAATGAGAATGTACTTGGTAAGTAATTAATTGAAATATTTAAAAATTTTTATTAGTACATGCTTACAGTACATAATGATTGCATTTATTGCAAGGGATTGGTACATATACATAACACATTTCAATTCCCTTCTTTTCCTCCCTCCTTTCATCCCTCTTTTCCTTTTCCAACATCAGAGTCATTTATTTATCTTATAGACTTTATAAAGTTAGTTATCATATATAGACTGAAAACCAGATTAATAGAATAAAGAATATATAAAACATGTAAGACAATTGTACTAAGTCAAGATGTACTACGAAGATACATTTCGCACACTGGATTACAACATCTTTTTTCTTTCTCTTTTTTTCTATTGTCCCTCCTTTATTTTGTACTTTATATGTACATTGAGTTTTTCATAGAAGATAAAACATGCGATATATAAGCTTGTGTGGCTGAATTATTTCACTTAAATTATAGTCTCTCACATGACTTAAATGTATCCTTTCTTACGGCAGAGAAGCACTCCATTGTGTATAAGTACCCCATTTTTTCTCCATTCATCTGTTGATGGACATATAGGCTGTTTCTGTGATTTAGCTATCATAAGCAAGAGTATGTGTACATCACTGCAGTATGATGTCTTTAACTTTTTGGGGAAGATACTTACCTAGAAGGAAAAGAGCTGGGTCAAATGGAATTTCCACTTTTAGTTTTGTGAGGAGTCTCTATATTGACTTCCATAGTGGTTGTATCAGTTTACACTCCCACCAACAATGGAGAAGAGTTTTTTACTCCCCACAGCCTCACTAGCATTGCTTACTTGATGATAGCCATTCTTTTTGGAGTGTTATGGAATCTTAGTGTTGTTCTAATTTGTATTTCTGAAATGGCCAGTCTTTGTTGCTAGTGTCAAGATCTCTTTTGTCATTTTTCAGTGTTGTGCTTTGGGTGTGGCTAACTATAATTTTTTTCCCAAAGCCCCAAGATTCCACTACCTTGGTTGTTTAGGGGAAGGAGGATACAGTGTAGTTAGTACAGCAGCTAGGTTCTCTGGGAATGTACACTAGTATTATTAATGTCATGAAGTCAATCTGCATGTTGGCTCACAGAGAAATAGAGACAATTATGAGACCCTGTCAATATAAAGTGAAACAGCTTCAGTAGCATTGCCCAAGACAGGGTAGATATTAACATACCCTGAGAACCAGTTATGTACCTCCCTTATTCCTAGAGAAGAAACTGCCAGCTATGATGTAAATATTATGGCAACCCAGATATTGACTTACAGGTAGTACGTACTAAATGCAACAGCTATACCTTTCCTAATAGTAGAAGAGAATGCAACACGAATTTTACAGAGTTAACTACTGAAAAATTAGCAAAGCTTTATGGTTATACTAGTAAAGATTTGGGGGTTGGGAATGGGGCAATGCAAAGAGAAAATTGTGAAACCTTAAATTCTATGATATAAGGAGGAGGAGAAAGAAGTGGTACAAAAGATCTTATTTGGGGAATACAAGGATGTCTATAGAATTAGGTAAAGGTAGGGCAAAAAAAACTAGGAAGAAATAGAAGATAAAAGAAAAAGAGGGAGCAAAAACAAATTATGCAAAAATTAAAAACAAGATAAAAGTAATTGAGGGGAGAAAATTTAAAAGGGAGAAAAGGAAAAAAATAGAGAAATAGAAGAAAAAGAGATTAGAAGCAAGGCTGAAGGACAAAGAAGGATTACCAAAGGCTCAGGAAACTGGTGAAAAAGATAGGAAGGAAGGAAGGAAAGAGGAAAAAAAACAAAAACAAGAACAAAACAGAACTAAAAACCATATTCACACACAAAAAAAACCCAACTTTTAAAAATCAAATGAACAAAACAAAAAGAAAAAGAAAACCAAAAGAAATTTCTATTATTTCAAGCCTGTGGTTATCTTTTGGGCTCTACAGCTTTGTGGCAGTGTCCAATTAAATGCATGACTCTCCCCTCACTGTTAGACAGGAGGCAGTCTGAGCCCACATCCACTCTGGGTAACCACAAGCAAGCTGGCAGTAAGATGGGGGCATGAAAAAGTAACATACTGTCCATACTTTAACTAGATAGTCTCTTAATTGTTTATTATATAAAATGTGATTTTCTTGTGCCATAAGAAATGAGGCAAAATATTGTCACTAATGTACTTTTCTAATGTGGTTTCAGTTTAATGCTTTTAAAGACCTCCTCTTGTAACTCAAAGTGCAGATGAAATATCAGGTGGGAGTACTTCACCCAATACTTAGAGCTGCTAGGAGAAAAAAGACTCAATATCAAAAATAATACTAAATTGTTTCTAAACATTAATTAGGCAGAGTTTAGTTAATTAATATGTATTTTGCTACAGTCTTACATCCATGAAATTATGTTTTTAAATATATTATTTCTTTATTTCCTTTAATTTTGTGTTACATTTTGACATTTACAGAAAGGTACATATTGACTTCTGTTATTTGGATATATCCATTTCTTGTAGTTCTGTTCTGTCTTTCTTATATGATTGGTGCATAAAAATTTTTAAATTCCATGTTCTGACAAACTTTTTATGCTATCTACATAAGTAAGGTAGATTTATTCTGTTACTGTGCTTACAATTTTTTATTTCGTTTCTATTTTTCTGTATTTTTATAATTTAGTTGTGTTCCATGTAAATACTCTGTAGGCAAATTGTTTATAAGTCCAGTGTGATTTCCTAAATTTGGTCCCAGAACATGTACTTCATTTAAAACTATTTTATTGTTGACCTATTTGGACTCAAATATATTAAGTTGCTTTTTATTTTTTATACACAATTCATATTTATTTCTCTTTATATAAAAATTTTTACATTTTTATCATTCAGTTTCTAAATCAATCATACTTGCTTCAACAATGATAAAACTTTGGGGAATACCCATAAAAAAAGTTGACTTTATCTTCTTATGTTTGTGTATGAAATAAAAGTTCTTCTACCTACTTTCAGTAAAAGTGTTCTCATGATTTTTACTTTTAACTTCAGAAGTCTCTCTTCCTACAGCTGTGAAAATGGATGAGTTCTTTTCCACTGAAGTAGTGATCTTTCACCTGAGCATAGTTTTAGTCTCAAAAAGCCCATCTCAGTTTAAGAAAGTTGGACATTTTAAAAAACTTGACTTTAATAATTTTACTATAATGTAGTATACCCAGATCCCTTCCCATTTATCTTACTTTAAGTTCATTAAAGCTCTTAATATTTTTCACAAAATTTGCAGTTATTTTCTATTTTTGAAAATGAATCTTTCTTCTTTCTCCTCTGACATTTAGGATCTGAATGTAGCAATTGTGTTTAATGGCTTTGTACCAGTCTCAGGCTCTGCTTTTTTCATTCCTTTTCTCTTCATCTTCAATCATTTTAATTTAGCTATCTTTTTATTTTACTAATTCTTTTATGTTTGAAAATCTGCTTTTGATTTCCTCTTTTCATTTAAGTTACTGGACTTTTTAACTCCAAGAATGTTATTTGGCTCTTTCAAACATTTATTGCTAGATATTCTTTGGTACTGAAATATTATCATAATTTTTTAAATTCTTTACACATGGTTTGCTTTAGTTAATTGAGCATATTTTTAATAACTGGTTTAAAAATCATTGTTGCTGGGCATCGTGGCACACGCCTGTAATCCCAGCACCCAGGAGGCTGAGACAGGAGGACTGTTGTGAGTTTGATTTTGTTTTTTTTATTTTTTGTGGTTTTTTGTGTGTGAGTTTGAGACCAGCCTGGGCCACAAAGTGAGCTCAAGACCAGCTTGAACTGCATAGCAAGACCTTGTCTCAAAAAGATGGTGGCGGGGGTGGGGGGAGTAGGAAATATAGAACTAACTCTGCCTTCACCATTACTTCCTCCTTGCTCAGAGATAATCAGAGATGAGAGATTTGGTATTGCATCCGTATTTCCTGGACCTGTAGGTAGCCATTCATACATACTTTTTCTTTTAGATTGCTAGGAAAATGCCAGTTTTATTAAGCTATCCTTTAAAGACATCTCATTTCTCAGCATTTCCATTTTTAAAGATTTTTTTATTAAGCTTTTGTTACCCCAGAGGCTACCATGTAAATAATTTCCTCTTATTTTTTTTTGTTTGTTTTTTGCTTCATCTTTTGAGACAGGATCTCACTATGCAGTTCAGGCTGGCCTTGAGCTCACTTTGTAGCCCAGGCTGGCCTCAAACTCAGAGATCCTTCTGCCTTAGCCTCCTGAGGGCTGGGATTAGAGGCCTGCACCACCACACCCAGCCAGTTGTTTTTGATAAATGCCCTGGAGGTAGAAATTATGTACACCAAGGAAGCTCTAGTCAGATCAAATAAATACAAGCAGGGTAGCTTTTTCTAAGAAGCTGCCAGACACATCAAATAATGGCTGTTTCCTGGGAATGGTTCCTTTAAAAGATGTCAAACGAATTGTTGCCCTCTTTAGTGGGTGTTAAGCTCCTGGATTTCTCATCCACTGTTATGTGAGACTGTTGGTTGACAAGTCTACCAGGGGACCTAGGGAGAGGAAAAACAAATGAGGGCAGATTATTGATGTGCTACAAAGTTTACTGTTATTATGAAGATAGGTTAGCTGTTAAAAAGTGTTTTCCATAGTGGCTATGTATAATATTCACAGCAGCAGTGTACAAGAATTCCATTTCCTCTATGTTCTATCCACCATTTATCTTTTATGTTTTTGATAACAGTCATTCTAACAGATATGAAATGATATTTTAGGGGCTGGGGATTTAGCTCAGCGGCACAGAGCCTGCCTGGCAAGCGCAAGGTCATGAGTTCGATTCCCAGTACCAGAAAACAACAACAACAAAAAAATGATATTTTATTGTGGTTTTAATCTACACTTCCCTCATGATTACTGATATAGATATTTTGGATCTGCCTAGTGGGGTTTACCTTTTGAAGATATATATTAAAGTGTTTTCCCATTTTAAAATCAAATTTTTTACCTATTACTAAGTTGAGTCCTCATATATGGTGGGCATTAACTGCTTATCAGAT